GGAGGCTCAGCCCGCGGCCAGGAGAGGAGGAGGGGGCGCGCCTCGCTCCGGCTTCAGGGCCTGAAGTGGGCAGGAGAGAACGCCTGGCTTTAAGCCGGGCGAGCCCCGCGCTCATCCGGGCCTCCGGCTAGCTCACCACCCCAGCGCCGCATTCACTTTCTCGGGTTTGCCCGGCCCAGCCAGGCTCGGGCTGGCCCGCCTTCCCCTCCTGGTCTGGCCCTGCCCTCCCTCTGGGGCTCTGCGTCCCAGTCTGCGGAGGTCTCCCCGGAGCCGGCAGTCCCCCGCCTGGGCTGCACTGACCTCCTGCAAGGAGGGCGCCGCAGGAGCTGGCGCTTCGCTTCAAACGGGCCGCGCCAACCTCCAGGCTCGCTGCGCGCACGAATCCCATCCCCAGCGAGCGGGCTGCCCGCCTGCAGCTGCAGCCGCCGTCGGGGCTGGGGCCCGGCCTGGAATGGCTTTGCAGGTGGCGGGCTCCTGGCTCTAGGTGACTAGGTCGGAGGTCAGAAGAGCAGACTGGGACCTGCACAGGTCGCCAGTTGCTCGGAAAAGGTTTTCCTGAGGGATAAGCTTTTGGGGGATTGAAAGCGGTCCCTGGACCCGTCCTGGATGAGACGCAGTCCTGTTCCCCGAACGAACACCCTCCAAACCTTCAGAGGGTTCTGAGACAAATCAAAATGTTGGCTTGGCTTGCGGCTGGGGCCTACGGCTTCCTGGCTCAGTCCCATCCTAAGGAAGCCAGCTCCCGTCCCCGCATTCCGTTCTTCTTAACTCCTTTTTTTCTTTTCCTGTCTCCCTTTTTCCCACCGTTCATTTCCTCCCTAATTTCTCTCCTCTCCATCCACCTCACTCCACCCGTAGAATTTCTGCGCAGAGGTTCCCAGGCACAGTTGTCAGAGCATCTGCCGCATGGACCCTTTCCTGGAACGCTTTGCTTGGAACTAAGACAGGAAGGCCGTGGCTTCCTGCAGGCTCTGCTGCCTCCCAGGGTTAGCCTCAAGCCCCCTGACTCCAGCCTGACAAGTGGGGGGTGATGTGATGGGGACACCTCTCGCATCTGCCGGATCCCTCGGCCCCTCCCCCATGTGGGGCTGCTGTTCCAGATTCCGCTAACGGAGCCAGGTTTTTTAGACCTTCGGACGTGGACTGGACTCACTGGTTAGGGTTCTCCTGTGCGCCTAGGGTTCCCCAGGTCTTTCCCGAAGTGCGGGGACTGGAGCCTAGGGGCCAGACCTAGTCTTCCCAAGAGTAAGCCCCTTGTGCGAACGCCACTTGGGAAAGAGGCCCTTCCATCTCCAAGACCGGCCTTCGCTAAGCCAGTTTCACATGTGGCTGCCGCGGACTCCTGGGCTTGTGCGCACGGTTCCCTACAGCGGTTTCCAGGAACCCGGGGCGAGCGCTCTGGGCACAGACGAAAGAAGGCAGCGGCCACCAGTACTCAGACCCGGAACTGGGTCAGCCCGAGGCTGACAACCGGGATGACTGCGCTCGGCGGAAGGCGCGACCGTCGGGCCAGCACCAGCAGAGGGCAGCGCTGCGGAGAAGCGAGCGCAACCCGCGGGCTAGGAACTCAAAACCTCCGCTCCCTTTCAGGCGCCGCTGCTGGGTTGCTGGCTCTGCTGTAAGCGGTGGGTTCGCGCCCGACGGGCGTACGCAGTCGGATGGCTCTGGGCTCTGGGAACCTCATCGGCGCTTGGGTCCTGGCTTCTCCAAAGATTCGCTGGAGAAAAGAAGAGCCAGGGGCGCAGGAGACTACAAAGGGGCCCACTGCGTGCTGATCACCCAAGCCCGGAAGCCAATCTCGGAGCGCCCAGGAGACTAAAGGGGCGCGAGCACTGCTGTGTATCCATGGGATGTCCCTTCTCCTTTCCGGGCCTCAATTTACTTGTCTGTGCAATGGTTTGGATTGAACTTTGAAAACTGAAATTTCTTCTCTCCTTGCTTTTGGGTCGGGTCACTTTCCATCCAAAGCCCCAAGGGTTTTGCCAATTTCCTGGCCGCTCTCTAGTGAGAAAGAGCCTTGAGGTTTGTGCGTCCCTCCGTCCTGGGCACAACATTTACGTGGTGGAGCCCAGCTCAAGGACAGGAGGTGTAAGGCAAACCTTTCCCTGGAACCGGCAAATCCAGGACAGGTTCTGGAGCGCGGGGCGGAAGCCGAGCCCGGAACCTATTCTCAGACGCCCCGGGGGCCTCCAGTGCACAAGCGTACTTTGCGCTCCTGGCCTGGCCTAGCCACAGACCCACTCGGACAGCTCCACAGGGGAAGAAGCATTTATGGAGAGCACCCCAGTCTCGGGGTCCATTGGAACTGGGGAGCAAAGTCCCTGCTCTCCCATCTCTCCTCACTGAGATGGCGAGGGGAAAATGTGCATGTTTCAGGGTCTCCACGCAGATGTACCGGACGTTTTGCGCGGGTACCAGGCGCAGAGTGCAACCGCCGCAGCTTTTTGCGCTCAGCGGGTCGGGCCCTGCCCGAGCTAGCAGACGCCTTCCCCCCTCGCGCCCTCGGGCTGCAGCTCCGCAATCTCTTTAATATTCATGGACGTTAATAGAGAGGCCCCCAGTATATCGGCCCATTGTGGGCGGCTCGTAGGGCTTGAATAGGCCCCGGCCCCCTTTCTTCGGCGCGGCTTCCCAAGGGGCCAGGCCAGGAGTGAATGGCCCCGCTTCCCGCCCCGCGCCTCCTCCCCCTTGTGGGGAGAACATCTTTATCCCCGCCGCCGCCGCCGCTGCTGCCGCCGGGCCCCCATTTACGCAGTCCAGGCTCCGGGCGGAACGAATCAATTGGTCGCGGCTCTTCGGAGGTCATCCTCACGACCGGGACTCCCCCTTCTCCGAACCCACGGGAGTGGAGAGTAAGAGGCGGCGGCAGGTCCACGGGCCCACGGACTGAGGGGCACTGAGAGCCGGGCAACAAGGCTAGGGCGGTCTGACGGGTCCCGGGGCGAGGGCGGGCGAAGAGGGACTCAGGGCCTCGCAGCCGTCCGGGGACCGGCTGATCTACTTGTTGACCCGCGCAGGACCGAGCGCAGATGGGGACCGAGGAAACGGCCCAAGCCGGCAGACCCGTCCTGCATCCTCTCGAGGCCCGGGCGCGCGGCCCTGATGGTTCTGCCGCCGCACCCGCGTAACTAAGCGTGCGGGGGGCAGCTCAAGTCTCCCCAGGCCCCGCGGCCCGGTCCAGAGGGCAGTTTCGTTGTCGCACGTGCTCCTGGGATCAGCTCGGCACCGAGGGGACGTTCGGAAGAACGGGGCCCGCGTCCCGCTCTCACTCGGAGGCTGAAGGCGAAGGTGGCAAGTCGGTGGGGCTGGGCCCGGGCGCACGAGTCCCCGCCCCTCCCGCCCCGCCTGCCCTCGGAGCTGCAGAAAGGAGCCCATTGTCCGCCTAGAAATACATTTTTGGGGGCCGAGTGAAAGCCCGTCTTTCTTTTGAACTTTAGAAGAAAGTCTCCTGCCCTCGCCCCTGGGAGGGGGAGATTTGTCCTCCCTCCTGGGGCCCCGCGCGCCTCCAATTCCCGAAACATCTGCGGGGGGAAAATCCACCCTGGAGGGCAGATCGCGCTCGCTCTAAGCCCCGCGAACTCATTAAAAAGATATTAGCGGCGGGGGCAGGTCTCAAGCAGGTATCGATCGGGCGGAATGAGCCCCAGGAAGAAACAACGAAGAAGGCGGCCGCGCCGAGGTCGGCGCGACCCCCGGGTCCCGAGCTCCTGCTCCCCAGTTCCACGGCAGGAATGGGGCCTCTGCGCAGCGAGCCCTGCGCCGCCTCGCTCCGTCCTTGTGCCCAGTGGCCTGTGTGTCCGGCCGTCCCCCGAGCCCCGAGGCCCGTTCCTCCTGCGCGCGGCCCTGCCCTCCCCTCGCCGCGCCCCCAGGTCCTCGCCCTCGCTCGGATCTTGGCTTCTCCCTCGGTTTTCTGCGGCACCGCTCTGTACTCCCGCCGCCGCCGTCGCGCTTCCCGCACCCCGCCTCTCTCCCTGTCCCCCTCTCCTACTCCCCCTTCTCCCGCTCTCTCTCCTCTTTCGCTAGCGCTCCAGTTTCCTCCCCAGCTTCCTCCTCCCACTTCCCTCTCCAGCTCTCTGAGGCGCTGCCTTTCTTGCCCGCTCCCTGCCGTGACCCGGGGAAATTCCTTCCTCGCGTGGGGCCCATCTCTTCCCCCTTCTGTTCCCGTAAGATGGTTGGGGTTCCAGGGCGCCCTAGCCGACGAGTACAAAGGCGCCACGGGCTGCCGAGGCGGGCGGGGTTGAGGGCAGCGTGAAGGCTCCGCCGCGCAAGGTTTCAATAGACGTGACTCAGAGACTGGTCTGCGCGCGGTGGCGGGCGTAGCGACAGCGGCCGTGGCACGTTGAATAGGGACAGACCTCCCCTGTCTAATTAGCCGCCGAGGCCCGGGCGAGACAAAGGCGCGCCCCGGGGCGTCCACGTCGAGCCGGTCAGCGCGGAGCCAATGCCCAGCCGGCCGGCAGGTGACTGGCACGCGAGTCTTCTCGGGTGCGGGGGAGGGCGAGTAGCCCCTCCTTGCACAGCCCAGACCCCCATCGCCCAAGCCCGGCTCGCCAAGCCAGCAAGTCCCTACACTGCTGCGGGATGGCGACAAGGGACGCTGGGGATGGGTTGGACTCCAGGAGAGACGCACAGGTAGGGGAGACAGAGCCCGGCGAAGATGCCGGGAGACTAAGGGCAAGAGGCCCAGACGGAAGAATACCGACGAAAATCAAAGTCTGATGCGTGGAGAAACAAAGATTCCTGGAGAAGGAGGAAGCCAAGGCAGAGAGAGACTAGGATTCCAACAGAGCTGGAGACCTGGGGAGACTTTTGAGAGTTGTATAGATACAGACTGCTGACAAACAAAAAGGACACGGAGACTGGCGGTGGGAACGGAGGGGTCCTGGGGAAAGCAGGGAGGTAGGATGAAAGGAGAAAGGCTGGGTGAGGCAGGCAGTGAGAAGGGCCTCCTGCCTTCTTGCCCCTCCCTAGCTCTCCCTGCCTCCCTTTCTCCATTCCCTCACCTGCGCCCAGCCTCTCCTGTGGGCCTGACCAGAGGGAGCCCTCCTCAACCCGCTGGGGCCCCACCTTGCCTGCTCTCCTGCTCTCCTCAGTCCCCTTCTTTTACTAGAGCCCTTTCACTTCACATTTCAGCCCAGGCAGCCTTGCCAAGACATTTCCCCGCCAACCTTGGGGGCCTCCCAGCTCCCAGGCCTCATCCATGTTCATCCTGGGATTTACCCTTTCTGCAGTTGCCCTGAGAGCAGAGAGAGGCGTGGGCCCCAACTTTCCTGCTCCCTCCACAGACCATCTCAGACCTTCAGACCATCTCCTGGTCCTGGTCAACAAATAATTTACTGAGTGCTGACTGTCTGTTGGGTCCTATATGAGGCCCTGGGGCATGATGGTGACCAGGGCACACATAGTCTTTGCCTTCTGAGAGCTCCCCATCCAGGGATGGGGCACTTTGGTAGGGCCAGAGGTGGCGGCAGCCTCTCATAGGCAGGCTTCTGGGTCATCCCCACCCTGGTGGTTCTGAAGCCTGTCTGGATAGCCCTGTCAGAGTGCTCTTGTCACATGGCTTCTCTGTCATCTGTGAAGTGGACACACTAGCTGTGCCTGCCTAGTAAAGCCTGCTGTGCTGGTGAACAGGCTCCCACTTAACAGACTGAGTGCTGAAGAGATGCTCCAAGAAAAGCCAGTATTGTCATCTTAGGGTTTTTGTTTTTGTTTTTTCCTATATTTACAATCAGTGGTATAGCGGATAAGGTACTTAGCTGCTAGCCAGAAGGTCAGCGGCTCAAACCCACCAATTGCTCTGCAGAAGAAAGATGGGGTGATGTACTTCCACAAAGATTTACAGCCTTGGAAACCCAATGGGGGTTGCTATGAGTCGGAATTGACTTGACGGCAGTGAGTTTTGGTTATATTTACAGTCACAGTTTTATAATAGCAAAAGGATATAAATGCAGGGGAGGTCTGGGAGGGTTCTCAGTGTAGTGCTTCCATGCCTCTGCCATAAAGCAAAAAAAAAAAAAAATTGTGTTCAAGCAAAAGTATACTGAGAGCATAAGAACATGGAGATGGGCAATCATAGATGCCCAGCACGTGGAGACCATGAATCCAAGGGGCAACTGTTTTGTGAGGATATAGGCTGAACTCAGGAGTTAAGAGTAAAGAATAATCTGATTTGTCACCTTATAATTCTGTTCCCATGCTCCAAAAGACCACTGTGTCCCTACATGTACAGATCCTCTGGCCCATCAGGAGATAGCCTGGCTCCTGGAGACTAGCCAGTATGTAGGGCCTTGATTTCCACTGTCTGAGCCTCTGCTTACCTACTTGAAAGATAGGGATGAGAATAGGAGCTATACTGGGAGGGATGGGAGGGAGCTAGAAGACAGTACAGGAAAGGCTCATAGGAATACATTGTGAACAATGTAATGTCAATGGATAATTTCTGTAGAAATTGTCAAATAGGAGGCTAATTTGCTGTGTAAATGTTCACTGAAAACACGATAAAATATTTTTTTAAAACAAAAGCTCATGAGACAGAACACACATGGTATATGGAAACTATTAGCAACTGTTCTGGTTACTTAGTGCCGCTCTGACAAGAATGTCTACCACAAATGGGATGACTTTAATAAACAGGAGTTTATTCTCTTACAGTTTGGAGGCTTTAAGCCCAAGTTCAAAGTGCCAGGCTCTAGGGGCTGGGTGCAAGCCCTTCAACTCTGCCTCCTATTCCCAGCCCACTGGAGCTAGAGGCTTTTCTTCACTCAGATAGCTGCTGGCTGCTGAGACTGACAAGCCCAAGGGTGACAAGTAAAAAGGCAT